GTGATGATTAGCCATAGGCTTAACTTAATATTTTTATGAAGTCACGTGATCAGACTGGTGCAAGTTTTGTGCAAAGCGCTGTACGACATATTAAACACGTTGTTACGACGTTTTTATGTCGTGTCGACGTAAATCACGTCAACACGACGTCATAAGGTAGGGATATAATTTTGAAACATTTGGCTTGCCATACGGGCCTGACCCTCACAAAGGAGGAGGGTCAGGACCAATCCAACACTCTTTTTCGTGGCACTGCACAGATTTGTGCAGTGACGTATCATGAGTCATCCTGAGTTAAATGAAAATGGCGGATTTGAACGGGACCTTTCTCTGGACCTTTCTAGCAGCAAAACAAGGCAGACAATCTCTAAGAACTTTTCTAGAGACACTGGAAGATACAAAGGACCTTAATATGTCTTTTAAAGAAGAAATAGAAGCCCGTTATGTGTTTATGGTGACGAAAACGATCCGGCTGTTAGGAACATTTTACCATGGCATTTCCATTTTTTCCTAGCTTCTCTAACTCGGTTTAAAGCTAGCCCTTTCACCATCTTTTACATGTGCAATTATATCTATGCCAATTTAGACCTAGTTCTATCGAACTGCTCAAAATGCGATCTTTTGCATGGTTTATTTATGACTGAGTCTAGAGAAGGAGCCTGAAGGAAACTGATTTGTATCATCTTTCAGCCCAAGAAGCACCATACAGCACATTTTTAAATAGCCAAATGTAAGCATTGAGCTCCACCCAGCCCCACCCAAGCCATAGAAGTGTACACCAAAAGAGTGTTGGATTGGTCCTGACCCTCCTTCTTTGCGAGGGTCAGGCCCGCCTGACTAGAGAAGTGGATAGTAAGATTATGTGCATTTCTTGGCTGAACTCTTGCTTTTACTACCTGTTTGTTTAGTCCCATGCCAATAGTTCTTGTATCAAACTATCAATATGCCAACATCAATTACTCAGAAAGTTGCACGATAATGGTTCTTATTGATGAATAATTGATAATGATAGTGATAAGGATTCCAGTCAAAGCTACACCATAGTACCAGTTTTATTGTTGTTATTAACTTTTGTAAGTGAAGCCACAATATTTTTTGGTAACTTTCTCCCTTTTCTTTTATGATAAACATAGAATAAACATAGACAGTGTTATGAACATAGTAAACTAAAATAATAATGAAATACAAAGTGGATAAGAAAGTATTACTTTTTAAATATGCACAGTTGTTTGGATCTTTTGTTGTTTGTTTGGATCTTTTGTTGTTTGTTTGGATCTTTCTTTTTTCGAGGATTTAGCACACACCACAACAATAACTGCAAGCATTGTGATAACAAGAACAATGAAGCCAGCAACTATGACTGGAACTATCACTGGTACTGTCACTAAATAAAAAGGCAATAGTAATTGTTAAAGATGCTACCGGTAACAAGCTTACAGTTTATAGTAGAAGAAAGCGTAGAACTGGGTGAAGGACTTGAAAAGGATACAATAGAAGTAGCATGAGACAACGATCTAGTAATAGTATGTGTGGTGTATGTAGTGGCAATAGTATTATGTGTTGTGGCTATGTTGATGTTTAACATAATATTTTCAAGTACAACTGCTGGATTAGTACAAATATGCCCTGGTCCATCACAAGCAAACAATGACCAGTTACCATTATTATTTGATGAAGTGGCTGGGATTGTACTAGCACACCATTCAAAGATTTTATTAGGTACCATCACATTAAATGGTAATAATTCTGATCCTCTCTCAACATGCAAGTGGATGCTTTGAATCTCACAATGATCAATCAAGTGAAACCTAAGACACAATGATGTAGTATCATTTTGTGAGAGGTATTCTATGTCTTGAATATCATGTGTACCTATAATTAGCTAAAAATCAAGTCAATTGTCATGAAACTCACTTGTCTCTAACAGTTGACTTATGATTAGTCTTCCAAGATAATTGAAACACAAGGTGTGATTGTATTTCCTTTTAGCTGGCAAACTATTCGTAGAATTAATTTCATTTTTTGTGATGCTGACTTTTCCTGAATTGTTTACACACTGTTCCTCGTTGCAACTTACTATCATTGCATCCTTCAGGGTTTCATTATTAATGGAGCATTCATTTATGTTGAGATGATCCAGCTGCAGAATAACAAACGTAACAGTGTAAAAAATATTCCTATAATTGATTTCACCACCTTGCAAGTACAGCTGGGTTCTTATTAAGACTTATAGAGGCTCTTTCTACCTTGTGATGCTTGTAGAGAAGTCCTTAGACAGTATCTTTATGTTCTCTTGCTGTTAGAAGGCTCATAACTTTGTCCATGTGTAAGCCGCCATTTTGTTTGCCGTGACCACACCCACTACGTAAAGGAGCGTGGGCGGGTGGTTGCTAAGGCTTATGAATTTTGTTATTTCTCCAATACAACATGTATAGAAGAAATGTAACTGTGGACATACAAATACCGTAGGTCGGGTTATATTCGCGGCTGCTAATATTCGCGGTGATAAAAAACTAATAAAGAAGTTCAATTAAATACCATGGAAACAAATTGATTGTTGCTATGACAATTGACCACGTGTTTATACAATTACAGTGTTCAGCAGCTAATTAGCTACTCTTGAGTAGAGCCATCCAGACTCCAGTTCTGTATCTGTTATCTTCTTGTATAGATGGACCGCAGCCTGGTCCTGTGCTTCAATACCACGCCGTTTTCAATTAAAATAGCATCCAGTTGCTATGGCAATTGCTAGCCGCGGGAAAAAAATCGCGAATATTAGCAGCCGCGAATATAACCCGACCTACGGTATACAAACATTGCACGTGGGTGAAATCAATTATAGGAACGACCTGGGGGCTGGGGGCGTTAAAAACAAAAAGTGAAGACCCACCCCTCAGGCCTCACAGTATATACTATGTCCCAACTGAGTTTGGACCAAGAAAAACTGGAATAACTTTTTATAGGAATGTGGGATAAGGGTGAGACTTTCACAGGTTCTTAGTCGCCCAATGCCGCTTCAGGATCTCAGGTCTTGGGTCTCTCAACCCTTGGGAACCCTGAGAACCGGGTTCTCCCTATAAACCCAATGGCATACCAAAGCTAACCGCAATGACGTTCTATGATGTCATAGTTTACATAAGCACATGTGGTCGAGCGCCCAAACTGATAATTCTTCTTTTAAAATGCTAACAGAGTGAGATCTTCTGATAATGATGGCCTTTATGAAGACTAACTGACTCCAGGAGCTATTGTACTGCTTATCAGGAAGAGCGAGACTGGTTTAAGAGTGAAACAGCACGGCCGAAATATCGGCCATGTCTCTATGAATCTCATTATAAACGTCATTAGTGACGTAGCTACATTTTTCAAATTCCAATGCAGCTGCTTCCACTTCCGGTCCATTCTCAGTTGGGACATACCGGTAGTATAGTAATGACAGTTTATAGCCCCACCTTTAAATATTTGAAATTATTATTATTGCATATGGTGCAAATTAGAAATATTGCATATGGTGCAAAAAATGTACACACTCTTTCTTTCCCAAGTTTAACTGACTTTTGTGTGAAAAACAAATGTCCAGTTTCCTCCATTATCATCACATCTGTATTCCACAGTTAGTGGTATTGTACCTTTGGGTTAATATTATTTAGTGCATAACATACTGTCACATACCATTTAATGTTTTTGAGATATTAGTGGAATTGCTGTAACCTATTTGATTTGCAGCTGTTGCGTTTACAATGACAGTGACACTTGCTTTATAGTCAAAATAATTTTCCTTTGTGTAGGAGAAAGAATGATGAAGATCACTTGTTACACTATTCAATCCCATGTTGTCTGTGATCCTAAAAGTTAATCCTATGCCTGGGGGTGCAAATATTGGATCCCAAGTTACAAATGTGTAGTTAGCAAGCTGACAGACTCTATTATTTCTAGTGCCGTCTGGTAACTCATATGCGTATATTACTGCAGGGTTAGTCTCCTCGTAAGTCGAGCCAATTGCCAAACATCTAACTGTCGTTGTGTTTAACTCCTTCGTCACAATAAAGGTGGTATTTATCTTTCTTCCTCCACCTGCTATATCTTCATTTAATGTTTGGCTGCTCACAGAATACCCTGGCGGTGCGGCATATACAAAAGTAAGCGTGTAGCCATCGTTGTGAGTTCCACATTCGAGAAAAACGGCTCTTCCAACAATAACATTCGTCTGTTTTGGTGTCAAAAAGAAAAAGTCTTCCAGTCCCACTGAGGTAGACAGCAAAAATAGCAGCAATGACAAAGCTTTGCCCATAGTTTTGATTCATATCTGGTAAACTACCTCCGTACCATCGATTTTTTACTTCTCACGATTTCCTCTAGAGTAAAGGTGGGAGTTTACGGACAGCGGCAGTATCCGTTATTCCATGTTATATTTGACTGCAAATGATTTGACTGCAAATGATTAATGGTCGATTGCTAAGTCCAAATAATCAAGTGTCTCTTAAAATACAAAAAAAACTTCAACAGCTTGAAACTGCAGATTGAAAGTTTTGAATATGCCAACATTATATATCAATACAAAGGAAATTAATTACACTATTTGATGGAACTATGTAAAACAATATTATAAATAATGTAGTAAGAGTTATTTAAGAGCAAATACACCTTGGTGACGGAGGCAGTTACCGGACAGTGATAATAATCACACAGTAACAGCAAACACAAGGGAGAAATGGAAGACTGAAGACTTGGAAAAGGTTATAGAGACAGTTTGTGAAAAAAATTCTCTGGTACTGCTAGAGAAAATACTCAATACCAAAGAACTCCACCAATACATGCATGACCACTCCAGCTTCAAAAATTAAGCAAGTTTCAGCAAGGCTTTGTCCATCACCTATGCAAGAAAAGAATGAATTAGTAGAGTGGATTATCAAAATAATTAAAATAAGGTATCAGATAGCCTTGCTACCTCCAACAAAAGGCCCAACAGTTTCCGACAATATCCGAAAAAAAGAATGGTGGC